ATGGTCGTGAAACTGTGTGTTGACTTTTACTGTGCTATTTTGTGATATAATAGCTTCATTTAACGTTGTTTCGATCTTCAACAGCACTAGCTACCATACCAAAATAAAATAAGAAGATACATCAAAAAATATTTTTTTCTTCTTTTTTCAAGGACAGAGGCGGGAGGTATTTAAAAAAGAAAAAAAAAAAAACATTTTTTAATGTATCTGCTTATTTTATTTCGGTATGGTACCTAGTGCCGTAACACCAAAATTTGTAACCACATTACACATCTCGAAGGCCATGCTTTACAGTCTCACATGCCATCATGCACGAGGGATTGCGAACGTGGCAATGAGATCGTCGAATGGCTTCGTTCAGGTGCCCTCTGCAATCGCTTTTTTCTGAAGTCATGCCCGCACGTTAAAAACCTGCAGATCACGCATTAAGCATACCGGTGCACTCGCAAGCACTGTGCAATGAACTAGATCAGCGCGATAGAGTTTCGCCTTTTCGTCATCTGCGCGTCAAAAAAGATTGGCACTTGTTAGAATGTGGCCGAAAAATTATCATTACTCGTTGGAAAAAATTCAATTTTTGAACTTCACATTCGATATAGCAGATGTCCCTTTTTCTGGGAGTTCGGTATACGTGTACACCAGTCCCATACTTTTGCACGGGAAATTCAAGGTGATTTCTCCATTGTTCGATAAAGTAAAATATTTGATATACAGTTGAATCTGGAAGTAACGAAACTGATAAATTCTCAGAAAAATTTGTTACAAAGAGGATTTTATTATATGCAGGTTTGGCACAAAAATTCTGAAAATAAATGCACAAATAAAGCAAAAGGGGGACTAAAGGCAGAGCTAACGCAAAACACTTACCTTATACTAAAAAAAACTGCGTTATTGCAATGGCAATGATATGGACACTCTCTGTAGATTTTCGCTGTCACTGCCATTTTCCGTGCATAACAAGCCTAAATTGATGACATTCCCTGCACATCGTAATTTTCACAAACAGACAAAAGCGTGCTTGCGCTGCTGAAGCAGAGATCAAATGAGTCGCATCTCCCGCATATTAGAGCTGCTGTCGAATGCTTTAATAAAAAGTAAACCACCAGTCTTAAACGAGCATTAAGCAACGTGGGAAGGGGGGGTAGGGGGGGGGAAGAATCGCTCGAGTAGCAATGATGAACTTGGATTTAAGGGCGGTTGGGATCGCGGGCTGCTTCCCATCTCTGAGAGTATCAGTGCGGTTTCAACGTAAACGGACTGTGTGAAAAGAGCACTTCTCCCTAGAGCGGCCGTATTCGCTCACACCAGCTTTTTTTACTAGTTCCGCGATATCGGATAAAAAAATTTGGCTGCCAGTCTTACTGCTTATAACATTACAATTTTCTGCTATCGCGTTCACTGCATTGCATTCAACATGCTGTCGTGTTCCCACAACTAATCGGCTAATCGTGAAAGCTGTCAGCCTGCGAACTTGCGGCGCAAGATGGAAGCGCGTGACGAGTCGACCTCCAAAGATTCCTTGTCACCATGGTCTCAGAGAGTTTCTATCAGTGCCTAATCTGACATACCCTCAGTGGTGACGACACGGTTGTCTTACATTAAGAAATGAAAAGTCGCAGCAGTGCCACAAGGGCTAAGCAATGAATACGATTGCAATAACTTGGAATGTAATGCTGAGAACGGCAAGCAGATCGAAACGTGCAGCACGCTGCTCACGCATAAATGATGCACGAAAACAACATACACAGGACGAGAGCGAAATAATGTTTACCACTCGACGCTTAACGTGTTTAAGGGGGGATGCTACACCTTCCAAAAACTCTTCTATTTTTGCGAGTACCTCAGTCAAGTTTGGAGAGCCTATGTAGATTTTACTGCTGATCTCAAAAATCTAATTCTTTTTTTGCTGTGACAATTAGTTTTAAAGATATAATGAACTGTGACTTTTTCAATTAAGGCCTAATTAGCTAATTAACTGTAACTTGGATATTGATGTGCAACCTATAGAACCAATTCGGTATGTTCACAGTGTGCAATAAAGTATAAATCATTGTTCTGGGCTATTTCGAAGCAAAGTTGTGGGATGTTGAATATGACATGAAAAATTTCCCCATCTACACTTGAAACAAAAGATCCATTTAGAGAATTTTTTCCAAAAAATATTACAATAAAACTTACTTTACGACACATCCCCTGCATTTATCTTCGAAACAAAAAAGAAATCGTAATGATAACCCAGATAGAACAAGAGATATTGCTCCGGCATAATGGGAAGCACATGAAAACTGTCGTTTTGAGAAATCGAGAAAAAACGTGGGCACACATTTTTATTGCAGAAGATGCAACAAGACAACCTCAAAACGCACCAGAAGCATAGTCTGAATGCATTCTGTGCTCATGCCTCCTCTTCACTAGCTTCCGGAGTTCCAATGAGGCTGTTCTTTTCTTGTTGGAGACAATGCTGCGACGGTGGTCTTTTTTTCTCGCTCTCCTGGCACCAGTACTTGTCGCATTCATGTCCATTTCACCTAAGATTGCCGTTGCAGAATTCAAATTGCCCGTGTTGAAGCGCAGCACTGCTTCTGCAACAGCTGCTTCAACAGCGAACAGGGACGCATGCGTCCCTTGGGGGCCAAACTCCAGATTACCGAATGTAGGCTCTCGTTGGAGTTCTGCGTTTTGCCGCGTTCGCACCTCTGAAGCAGGGCTCTTTCCGAAAGCCGGGTATAAACCGGTAGTAATGCCTCTGCCACGTCTTTCGGTAGATTGTAGGCATGCCTGGGGTCGGGCTCACCCTTTGCTTTTGCGGCATTGTGCCGACACCATGAAGTTTCACCAGCTGGGCACAGACTGTGGTCCGAGCATTCATCAGTGGAGGTGACGTGGCGGTATGTGGCCATCACAGCCTTTTGCATCTCGCCCACGTCACCTTCATGCGATTTCAGAGCCCGGCCATAATATGTGCTCAGCCTGGTGATCAGCTCACCTGTGAGCCTGCCTTTCCCACCAAGGCCTCTTTTCCCATCGCACTTTTGTTTCTGCACCAGGTTTCTCAATGCGGTGCCCATCCGTTTCTGTAGATGATTAATACAGTCTTCCTTCTGCACGTCAATGTAACCATACACCTTGGCGTCTTGTATGGCGCAAAATGTCCTAGAGTCTCCATCAGACAGCATAGTTGTGTAGCGCAGGCCATGGCGTTCAAGCGACCTCTGAAATAGAATTAGAGCCGCCTCCACTTCCATTTGCCCCGCTTTGCTGTTCGTATTTTTTTGGCATTTGTGGTTAGCCTTCCATTCTTGATAGCCCTCACTACTAGGCTTTGGGCCCACCTCGCAGCCTAGGCAAAAGTTGGAAAGAACGACGTAGTCCAACACGTAGCCACTAAATAATTCGATAACTGTGCCCACGCCGATGTGGGAAGAATGGCCTCGCGTCTTCCACGTGCCGTCGGAGCTAACGGCAATATTGCCCCGGTGGCCGAAGCACAAGTCATCATAAATTGTTCTAACCTTTCCCGCACATTCGCTCATAGCGGACTCAGCCGCTCGCGTTGCAGCGGGTGCCAGCGTGTTCTTCAAATGCCGCTGAAACGTCTTGTGGTGCATACCGCGGTGTGAGATGCCCATTGTTGCGAAAATATCGTTCATTTTCGTTTGGCCGTTGCCGGTAGCCACCATCGCCCTCGAAGCGAGAAGATTTACTTCAAACGGATTGCACGTTTTCGTGCCGTTCGCGCGGGGCGAAGTCCATTCATTCGCGATCTCGCCGCACCTTTCACACTGCACTAGCACTTTCACGGCAAGTCCGTAGTCCCGATCCCCTCTGACGATCGTAGCCGGTCCGTGGCAGGCTTTGCAACACAAGGCACCCATTATCGCGTTTAGGATATCTAGATGCATAAGTAGATAAGGAGCAGCGTGGTCTGAGTCCTGTGCGGTTGCCTCGCTACAACTTGCGGTGAAAAAGTCAATTTTCCGTGCAGTTGCTGGCGCCGATGAAAGCCGGTCGAGCGTCGCTTTCTCCCGGGCATGATTTTCTTCAACTTCGGCGTTTGTCACCACCTTGGCGTCGATTCGTAGTCGTCCGGAGTTCGCTTCACCGTCATCGTCGTCGGAGCGTCGACACATCGTTCGTCGGAGTCAACCAAGGGCTCTGATGACTTCGTAGACTTTCTCCCACGACCTTTGCGTTTCCTGCGACCAAATGCGTGCATGGTCCGATACTTTTTTGCGTTTCCAGGCATGGCGATACGATCAGAAGCTTCAGAGTGCTCTGCCGATTTCGAGGCGTCACAGCGGTAACCCTTTCAAAATGGCGTCGGGTCGCGTATGCAGGCGCAAGCCGCGAGCTTCCAGCCAACCGGAAAGCGCCATTTCAGTCACGTGTGCCGTTTAGCCAATGGCAGTGAGCGCGGCTCTTCGTCTTTGAGGCCCCGTTTTTCGAGCCGGGGAAACGCTCAATGTTGCTTACTGAATAAAAAAAACAGCTGAAAACTCGTTCTTTCAAACAAGACCAAAATGGCGCCGATCGAGCGTGTAGTTCCCGCGTATCGTAGAGCCGAAACCTGCGCTATTCGCCCTCAATTTAAAGGGCAGGACGCCCGTTTTCGGTTTTTTGAAGTTGAATAACGATAAAAGTTGATGGTATTCGGCTATGAAATTTTGTAAATAGGTGCGCAATGATGTCGGGAACGCGAAAAGAAGGTCCGCGAAAACTCGATTTTTTGGCTGATTTTCGGTCCCGAAGTGCCGCGTCTCCCCTTAAACAAAATGAGGCACGAAATGTAATCACAGGTAATGATATCAACGCGAACAAACAAGTGCCCCCCTTGTTACTTATTGTTATTACTTGTTGGCCAAGGTGGACTGGAATCCGTTTGATGTCCTTGAGCTTGGCTTAGCAGAGCTACACGTTACCAGCTAAGCTATCACACTGGGTCATCACTAAACACTGCTACATAACCTAAAGGGCATTAAGAAAAAAGTTTAGTCACTCACGAAAGCATGGCATAGCAGATGTAGATGAGAAAAGTGAACCTCTGTGGATCAGCAAACAAAGAATCCCAGATACGCAGCACATCTGCACAAAACAAACATGTACAAACATATTCAGTGTTCTAGCTCCCAGCTGCAATTCAATCTACCATTAGCACATAGCTAAAATTAACGTTATCTTGTGAATAGAAAATAAGGCACATAACAGCTGATAATACCACATAGTGCGAGAAGTTCAGACACAAAGAAACTTATTGCAACGAAGGTGCTTTTAAAGGATCCCCGACATCAAATTTGGAGACGTCAGATGCTTGTGTTATTTGAGAGTGCTGCGTGCTTGGGGCACTTCTGCCCGAATATTAGTGACGAGCGTTGCCTGTAAGATTTATTAAATTGGTTTTAAGGTAAGGGTGAGTGCTCATCTGGTTTATTAGCACCAATCGACATCTCTGGTTGCCTGTAAGATATATTATTTAGTTTTAAAGTGGGGGAGTGCACATCTGGGTTATCAGAACCAATCGACATCTTCTCTGATTTGATGCAGACAGAGGCACCACGTGATGTTCCACGAGTAAGCTGAGCCCAATGTCACAGAAAATTTGCGGGGACGTGTACAACACTGACTGGCACCCGGCAAGAACTTTTGTTCGTAATCTCTCTTGCTCTGTTGTCGGGCTTCTCGCAAGGTGGTTTTGGCTGCTTGCAGCAGGGACGCTGTTCTTTTTTATAATGGGGACAGGCTCAAAGCACCATCATTTCATTGTCCACCGCCAGCCTGTTTCTCGATTTGAAAACGGCGTTGCTGCAACTGAGTGAATGAACAGTCGCTATGTTTGCGTGTTGGGATTCGTCTTTATGTCAACTTGACATTCCCACAGCTTCCAAGGAGCGCCAATAAGTGCTCAATGAGACAAATTACAAAATAACAGCAGGAAGAGGTGGACAGAAATAGGTGCATTTGTGTGGTACGCATCAATTCAGCAAAATTTCAAACAGCCCCGTTTTTTTCTTTAACAATGGATGTTGTCATCGCTTTAAACTTCGCGGTTTAGGCAAGATGACAGAAATGACAAGGCCGGTTATCAGACAGCATTATCAGCTGTTTTTGACATGTTCCACTCTACCAAGTACCTGAAAGCAGCAAAACATTTCACTTGGAGAAAGAACGTCAATGACACAAGGAATAAAAATGAAGAAATTTCACAGCTGTGTCCAGGATGCCAGGGTGAGATGGCTGAAATTGAATTGAGAGCAGTCCTTCTTTGGAACAGTATAATTTTGATTTTGGAGCAATAGAACCTTGATTCGCAGCAGTTAGTGACATTTAATATATCGCCTTAGGAGATTGAAAAGAACAAACTTGTAGCAACTTGGGGGGTGGGGGGACAAGTATATATTTTAATGTACATGACACTGACACAGCTGTAGGAGAAAATTTTTCAACAAATTATTGTCAGATATGAACTACACTTCTTTTTTACATACCATCCAGCCCCAGCAACAGATGACACATTAAATAATTGAAAGAAGGTTCTGTAGACCAGGTTTGCTGGAGCATTTGAAAAAGAGCAAGACAAAAGAAAAAGCATCAAATTTTCGGAAAAAAATGTTGTGACTGCACAAGAATTGTCCCACAGCACTATATCACTTATATCACTGATATCAGTAAGCAGATTACTAGTTTATCTTTTCGTAGGTCTACATATTTAGATTTTGAAGCTTCCCCAGAGCTTCCTGTACATCTGTGTTGCTCTTTGTGAGGAGACCTTCACAATAAGTGCCCTCAAATATCTGCCAGGCCGAATAGTTCACGTAGTCAACCATACTGCACGCTTCTAAAGGCGCCAGAAAAAGCACACACTGCACCCCTTTTTGTAGCCAGCTCGTGCAAAACCGCCTTCGAGCGTGCAGCCCGGGCACCGAGAAACCTTGCCATGCCAACTACCTTGTCAAAAGCATGTGTGTGGCACCGCAAGTGCTGTGGCACTGTAAGAATACTGCACACTTTTATTAGGAAACAACACAAATACACTATGCATCAGTCCACTGCCGCCTTCTAACTCAAAACCACCTGTGCATTGCCTTATGGTATCACGGTGAGGCAAGTACAAGGCTAGTGCTTGCGTCACACACGGTACGGCACGTAACGTCACAAACACTCCTACAGCAATTGCGTCAAAGGGCCAGAGCACTTGGACATTAATACTCGGTCTTTTCAAGAAAAAGAATCCATGGAGCCAAATAAGACACTGAAGCTGCCCTGCTCCACTGGTTTAATGAAGCACATGCACGAAATATGCCAATAAGTGGAGGACCTACTTTGCAAACAAAAGCCAGATATTTTGTAAATTTTCTGCAGCATGAGAAATTCAATCCACTAACAGCTGCATTCAGCGATTCAAAGACAGTTAAGATTACGAACAATATCTTTTGACTGAACTTGACTGTGTTGAACACCATGAGCACTTGTGCAGGCTGTTGATTTCCCCACAGCCAATGGTGCGTCGAAGTGTTAGAAAAACTACACTGCTTCCTTGAACTACAATTACTGAGAACAGCGCACTTGCATTGTGCGGTCGGAGATATGAAGAGTTTACAGTATCAAGCAAGTGGGTGTAGAGGAAGCCTAAGAAGTCTCTTCACTGCACACATTTCACTCAGCAGCATGAAACAGTGGCACAAAGGATGTCGTCAGGAAGATGACAGGGGACCAGTATCAAACAAGTGGGTGTAGAGGAAGCCTAAGAAGTCTCTTCACTGCACACATTTCACTCAGCAGCATGAAACAGTGGCACAAAGGATGTCGTCAGGAAGATGACAGGGGACCAGAGTGGGTCTTGAGGCTTCGCCGGGGCACTAACAGGGCAAACAGCTTGAGAGAGAACAACAGTAATGGTAGGCCAGGCAGCAACATCCTAGCGCCCCTGTGTAAGTGGTTTGTGATGCAATTTATGGGATCCCAAAACATGCGATTGTGCCAGGCCAACTGCGATGAGGTGGTTGCAAACTTAGCAAGAAAGCCATGTGGCACTCCTCGGCAAGTACAGCTAAATTAACCATGACAGCTTCACAGAAGTATTATTTAGAGAAACAAACCTTTATTCACGCACAAAAGGGTCAGTCAGCTGGCTTTGTCGGGTGCTTCGGCTAGGCGCGAGGAGTGCCCTGCTCCAGTTTGTTCAGGCAAATTATGAGGTCCTGGTCAATGCCCACGCACTCCTATCTATTTCGCAACAGACAGAGACACTCCTGCGTTTGTGCCATTGTGGTATTTTGTGAGCGCGTTGATTTAGCGGCTCATCTTCCTCCTTGAGGCCCCCAAGCAAGTAGACTATTTTGGCATCCATACCTGAGGCAATGACGGGTACATCTGCGTCGACCATCGCGAACGATTCCAAGTTGCCTTCCAGATCACTGCCAACGATGCTGTTCACAGCTTCGTAGAGATCATCATAGTCCTCGCAGTCATCATCAGCATCCTCTGTGTTAATTCGTCATGTGCAAAGCTGTCTGCAATCTTCGCAGGAGACAGTTCTTTCCTTGAATGGCAAAGTAAATGCACTGGTACAAGTAAGTCGATGCTGTACTCCTGGTTGGTATCATAAACAACCAGCATCCATTGTGAAAGACTTTTCTGGCATAGCTTTCGTGTTGTCTCAATGTTGCCCTGCTCCATGGGCTGCAATATCGCGGTCGTATTCGCTGGTAGAAATTCTACAGTGATCACTTGATTGATATGTGGGGTTTAACGTCCCAAAACCACTCTATGATTATGAGAAACGCCGTAGTGGAGGGCTCCGGAAATTTCGACCACCTGGGGTTCTTTAACGTGCACCCAAATCTGAGTACACGGGCCTACAACATTTCTGCCTCCATCGGAAATGCAGCCGCCGCAGCCGGGATTCGAACCCGCGCCCTGCGGGTCAGCAGCCGAGTACCTTAGCCACTAGACCACCGCGGCGGGGCACAGTGATCACTTGCAGATTTTCAATCATGCCATGGCTGGAAAAATTGTGGATAACAAAAGGCATACGCCTTTGGTTTGCACTGAACTTTCGATCGAGCAGACGCACACACTTTTCAAAAATGGCTGCGGTCATCCAAGCGCGTCTCTTGCTTCTGTGCTGCTTCTGTATATGCAGTCTTTGGGTATCACTGTGTTGTGAAAGCACCAGGGCTTTGTCCACTTCCCCAGTATCAGCAAAGGAAGCTTGTCCTCCCTTATTGCGTTAGCACCGAACAGCCCTGTAACAAGTTCTTTCCTTTGTTTACATCCTGATGAGATTCTTCCCGGTCTAGTGTACAGTAAAACCTCATTATTTTAACTTGGGTTCTTTCAAGATCCCGCTTAATTTGAAGTATTTCTGCGGTCCCTTATTTTGCAATTCAAGTTGAGCGAATAAGTTCAAGCAGCGGTCAGAACAAGTTTGGTTAATTTGAAAACTTTGGGTACAGTGTGTCGATTCCAGATCCCTATTTCACTGCAAATCCGTGGAAACGACAGCCACTAAGCAATGTACTTTAGCGATACTAATGGGTGGTAGTGAAAGAACCCCTGCCTCGCTATTTCCAGCACAAAAAGTAAAATTATAAAAAAAAATGCCCCCACCTCCCCGAAGGGATTTGTGAGAAAATGTAAATGCATTTTTGGTGCTGAGAGAGGACACCGTTGCCGTCGAACCTACGCCTTCACCAACTTCTGCCATCACCTTGAGAGAGGCCCAGCCAGCAAACGGTTGAGTGAAGAGAGAGAAGACTGGAGAGTGAGGCGCAGGGAGGAGAGAGAGTGAACAGTGCGAGAAGGAGCAACAAAGCACTGCACCTCTCCCACACTCTTGCACCAAATGCTCTGGTTGCTAGGGGCGAGGATAAGCTTGCGCACCAGCAGCTGTTGCAATGAGAGAGAGAGTGAGAGCGGAGAGATAACACCTGCTGGCACGCCTCTCCCGGCTGCCTGACGAAGCCCAACTAAGAAATCATCATCATCATCATCATCATCAGCCTGACTACGTCCACTGCAGGACAAAGGCCTCTCCCATGTTCCGCCAGTTAACCCGGTCCTGTGCTTGCTGCTTCCAATTTATACCCGCAAACTTCTTAATCTCATCTGCCCACCTAACCTTCTGTCTCCCCCTAACCCGCTTCCCTTCTCTGGGAATCCAGTCAGTTACCCTTAATGACCAGCGGTTATCCTGTCTATGCGCTACATGCCCTGCCCATGTCCATTTCTTCTTCTTGATTTCAGCTATGATATCCTTAACCCCCGTTTGTTCTCTAATCCACTCTGCTCTCTTCTTGTCTCTTAAGAAGAGAGCAGAGTGGAACAGTTAGGGAACTAAGAAATGCATTCGCATAAAAAAAAAAAAAAAAAAAAAAAACTGTCTAGTGTTGAACTAAAATATGCACCTGTGGAAAACGAAATGTGCTTCACTGCAATACAGAAATGACATGCGGGCAGCATGTTGCATGCTTCTCAGCGTGTTACGATTTACCCATTTCTGAGAATATAAAGAAATTAATAAAAGTCAGTCTGGAGAAATCCGCGATGTAGGCGAACCTCCTAGTGCCCGTTGCTCCAGCAGCTTGTGCACTTGCACTGCTGGTAAAGTTCTTGCCTGCAACGCCTACTTCGAAAACTTTGGTCGAAAGCTTCCAGCCAGAACACATCGCGAATTTCGTCACACTGTTCATTATTAAATTCTTTATTTTACCAGAAAGAATGGGCGTATGGTCGCATCAAGACGTGCTGACGCAGGAAGGAGCGAGCAATATGGCCGCGTGTCGCTACTGTATTGCAGTGAAGATGGCTTGTTTTTCGCGGGCGCGTATTTCAGTTGATATAGTTTTTTTTTAATTTGCGGTGAGAGCAGTCAGGCTCGGAATTCCCCCTTGTTTGCAGCAAAATCGTTACCAAGTATTGCTGAAAAACATAAACCTTGGAGCCACAAACTAGCTGACACAGCAAACGACCAGCCCTGATTAATTTGAATAATTTCAATTTCCTTGCATACCACTTTTTGTATGTTCTGTTAATTCAGAAACATGCTTAATTCAAAAATTTCTCATGGTCCCAGTGACTTTGAATAAACGAGGTTTTACTGTACGTGCTCTTCGGCAACTGTTCGTAAAAGAATGCCGCCTTGTCTAAGCTGTAAATGTTCCTATCTTTATACTGCTGAATTAGGGTGCTCAGCCGATGCTTGCGCCATCTGTCCATGACATCCCGGTCTACGGCTGTGCTTTCACCAACGATCAATTTTGAAGACGGGCTGTGCTGTCTCATAAAACCTTCAGGCCAGCTGTTGCTGCATTTAAAATCTTGCTTGTCCATTTGCACGGCTATGGCTTCGGCTTTTGAGATCAATGCAGGCACATTTACTGGAAGGTTTGCACTTCTAGCATTTTTCAGCCACCTAAAAAGCGCTCTTTCCACTTCAAGATACATAGAATCACGGCTTCGTTTGGCCGAGAAACTCTTCTCAAAGCTATCAAGTACACCATCCTTATTCTTCAGAACAGTTGATAATGTAAACGGTGGTATTCTGAATTGTCTTGCGATTTCAGACTTCTGTCAGCCTCCTTTTTCCAACTCGTGTTTCAATTGAACTTTCTGCTCCAATGTCAGACACTTCCATGCAGGCACCGGCGAAGCCATGTTGACTTGATGGCAACTATGAGCACTCGTGAAACACACAACGTCATGGGTTCACACAGACCTCGCACAACACAAGTGCACATGTGTGTTGTGTGTGTGTTAAGAGCAGAGAGCACGCCTAGGAAGCATGCCGAGGCTCCGTACTGGTCACGGGACACACCTGACACCACCGACGTAGCCAGTGGCGTAGCGACGGGAAGCAGCCGGTTCAGCCGGCATGTTTCGAGCATCTTCGTACTGAATAGTATCGGAGTAGGGCGTGGACGGAGAAGGTTTTCGAAAACCACGCCGCGGAGACTCTCACGCCATCTGCACCAGTCTGCACTGGTGCGTTTAGCCTTGCGCTGTTAGCACGAACATTGCTTGCTCGGCACAAAAAAGACCGCTTGGTGCAGGATGTGGGTGAAAAAAAGAGCGCAGGCACTTTGGCGACGTGGGCGGTCACTTACCGGCTCTTAGCGCCGCCATAAATACAGATTTGCAACTTCTTTCTTCGCTTAAGCGTAGCAAGCTATCAACCTATCAACATGCTTTGAGTAATCCGGTCTAAAATACACGCATTGGGGTCGGGACTGCACTACACTTCAATGAAAGCAATACATTGAATGAAGCGAATTCGTTGTAATGAGAGTTTACTGTACTGCCTTTTTCAGTAAGCCTTTCTAATATCCAGAATTTGGCTTGTCTGAATGTAAAGTGTCTGAACAGGCAGAAGAAGTTGAAAGACAAAGAGACTCAAGGAGCATTGTCTGCATTGAATATTGGGAAACTTGACTAGTAACGGCATGAAATGACTTGCATTCTGGCAACAAACACTGAAGCAACCTCTTTAACACATGTGGATCACAACATACGCAATGCTGACTAAACCGGACTAAGCTGTTCTGTGTAAATATGTGCAAACCTTTTGGCTGTATCCTTTCACTGCTGAATATGAGTAGCGGTCAGTTTAGAAGTTTTGCATGTGTTCCAAATTGTAGTTTTCACTATAGCATTTCATTCTGCTTATAGTGTGCACATTTGTGACTCCAGCTACTTGGCAATCTATACATAATGTGCGTAAGTTCTGTTGCCCCCCCCCCCCTCCCTGTTTTTGCAGAGACAAAGATGGTCGTATTGTATAACCACTGAGTTTGTCACTTCAAGATGTCTGGGCATGGTTGGAAACCAATTGGAAGAAAAAAAAAAACAATGACTTGATTACCAGGCAGCGGGAAGTCCTGAGAGAGGAGAAGCATGATCCATCGAAAGCTGTAGTACTGCGGCTCTACTTGCAGCTGCTTCAGGTGGCCGTACAGCCGATCGTCCCGGCGACGCAGCAGCTGCATGAGGCGCTCCATCATGGCACCAATGCCAGACGATGATTCATCCAACGTCTTGATGAAGAAGTCCCGAATCTCCGACATGAGGCTCGTGAAGCAGAAGAAGCAGTCCGCTTCTGCATACTCTGTGCATATATAATTAAAAGGCGTCTTGAGTTGAAGCTCAGGACAACAAAGTCATTGATTATTTTTAGGACCATTCAGCGGAAGAGTCTGGCATTCATGCAAATAAACTGGAATTTGAGGTATTAAAAATACAGCAGACTCCCATTAATAAATAGGCTTGGAGAGCGAGTATAAAATCAGAGATATTAGAAGCATTTGTTCCATTTAAGCAGCAGTTCCGTTTCAGAGCTTTCCATTTACTGTAGTTTGTTATGCAGAACAGCATAGTGGAAAGTTCTGATATAATTTGACATCCCAAATATTTTTATGGCACATTGAGCTTGAAGAAAGGTACACAACTGTTTTACCCAGACAACAGCCAGTGATCCAGCTTTTGTCCTTGTGTTGATTGTGCTTTGGTGATTCCAAAACCATGCTATTTTTGTAGTTGTACTACTCAATTCCCATGAAAACCACTGTGGTAACACTTCTGAGTTGTTACCTGTCAGGCTATGTTGTCTATTTGTTGCATTTAACTCACCTTACTTATAGCATATTGACACACACAGCTGGTGAAAGGACAGACACAAAAGGACAACAGAAGCACTTGTGTTGTCTTTTTGTTTCGTGTTCATCCTTTCACCACCTGTGGGCTGGCATATGCTATAATGAGCAATGTACTAGCCCATCAGTACATTTTAACCGTATTTATTCATTTAGAGAATGAGCAGTGATAAATATCCTACACTTCCAACAAAAATATCCAACTTAATAGTTCTATTGCATCATAGCTTGACCAAGTTTTAAAACGGTCAAGCGGAAGCTTGAAATTGCAGTTCTACTGTATTTTAAGACAAAAGTAGATGCAAAAGAATTCAGAAAAAAAAAGTACCGTCTGCTAGGTAATCCTGTTCTCACTTTTGCAAGTTTGCATTCTTATGCCATGTGTAATATATACCAAAGAAACACTAGGAAAGATACAAGTACACTTTTTGCACATGCCCGTACATTTCTTAGGCATAATAAGAGTGGGTTACTGTTGCAGCCTTGCTGTTTTCCTTGGCGTAGACAGCACATCCTCTCACCCTATTGGGCCAACAAAGAAGAGGCTAAGGGAGATTCGTGCAAAGGTGCTTAATTGGCTCAGGTGATCTTGCTGATCATTGAAAATGTTGCCAGTGCCCCACCCTCTTTGAGAGCACACCTGTCCTCAGCAACTGCAAGACTTCGAATAATAAAACCAGATGCATAAAAACCAGATAAGACAGAACAGGATGGGTGCTTGTCATGTTTAAATCGGTGCCTCTTCCCTCCGATTTTTGTGCGCTACTCATTAAAAGCCATGCGTCTTTAGGAACCTCCCCAACCTGTTGCACTTGTCAGAAAAAATTACATTAAATTCACCAGATATTCGCGTATCCATTGAATAAACTAAATGCGTAAGCACTACTTGCTTATCTTTCTACAGAAAAAAGAAAATCTGGGCAAACAAACAGCTTGGCACTTCACGTATATGATTTTTGTCCGGCATTTTCAGTTGCAGCTATCAGCATGGGCGTTGAATATGATCTTTTACCTTTTTCAAATGGTCCATACAGCTGAAGACCAGCGTTTCACAATTCCTGCCAATTATTCTTCGCTGTTACATGCTCAAAAATTTCTACTTTGCGCAGTTGCGCTGATGAATAACTTCCCGAATGATTCGCACATTATTCTACATGATGCTGTTCTGAAACATAATATTAATATTTTTGGTTTAACATCTCAAAACGACAATATAATTATGAAAGGTGCCGTAGTGGAGGGCTCCAGAAATTTCGACCTTCTGGGGTTCTTTAGCGTGCACATAAATCTAAGTACAAGGCCTCAAGCATTTTCACCTCCATCAAAAATGTCGCCGCCACAGCTGGGATTCAATCCCACGACCTTCGAGCGAGCAGTAGAGTGAAATAAACACTAGACCACCGGGATAGGGCCGTTTTCAAGCATAATGCACAAAGGTGTATACTGTGGGCATGGTAACCTTGATATAAAACACCTTGAATCCTTTGTGGACATATATTCAGCTCATACTGCCACTGGAAATAGTCGCTTCTGTCAGAGTGCCCAAGACGTGTGCTTGTCTCTTGTTTATTAGTGTGTTATGCCAACCATCGGCACCGTTTCAAACTATTACATGTTGTTTTCGGTTTCTACAGTTTCTGTAGTTTTTAGTTTCTAACTGCTTTGAAAAGCAGTTAAGGAGAGATGCTACTCGATGACACTTTTTTTTAATATTCACCCTAGAGCAATGAAACTTGAGCTGTTTATGAAACTTTTTATGCTGATTTCAAATATAGAATTAGTTTTCTTGCAAGTTACACATTATTAACTCTGCAACATGACAAAGTGAAAACCTGAACCCCTCTTTTTATCCATAAACTTCTGTAATTTTTTGCCATTCATAGCTCATAATGCTTCAAATAAAGTGTAGAGTGCAAATAACTAATTAGTAAGCACATACAAAATATGTAATATGCGTGAAAAATAATACACATAAAAAGTCCATATTTCACCTACTCTAGTACAGGTATACATACAATTTTTTAATTATACAATAAAATATTGAAATGTAAACTAGATAATTGCATTTGTCATACTTTGTAAAAAATTTGGGCAAAATTTCATGAAGATCCGAGCACTAGAAGTGCCTGAAAAAGGAGGGGCACATTGAAAAAAATGGCAAAATTTGTGTTTTAAAACGAGTTTTAAAGTTAAAATAGAGTTTTTATTTATGAAAGATATCATTAAATCAGATGAAATTTTCACACCAAAAAGAACAATCCTTCTTGTAGTGGCCACTGCGACTAAAATACCCAGCACCATGAATTTTTCCCTCTCGACTTTTTCGAGCCGACTCCTCACAGACATTTCGCTCACAGACAGGGCCATGAAACGCTTGCCAAACTTCCGCTCCATCTGGCAGAGCATTGTGCCAACTGCAAGCTAGGAAGAAGTTCGACAGGACTGTGAAATCTAAACTAATTCCAGTGTGATGCAATTTTGCAGCCATGCTTGTGCCACATACCATCGTACATAATGGCAATGTTGTCCCTGCTAAGTTCTCTCGCTGCGAGCTCTTTCGACCTCTCAAGATTGGTGCTGACATCATCCATTGCTGCATCACGAACTTTCCGGCTGACCGGTGTGAACGACTTTTGATGCATGGAGCCAACAACTGCCGCAAATCGGACCAGCTGCTCGTAGCCTATTCCTGCAGAGCGTGCCGCGCAAGGGTTTTCACTTGCGAGCAATGCTTTTTTTCATTCATAATGGAGATAATTACACAACAAAATCATTGTTCAGCTGCGCTGCTCGACAAGAAATGGGCCCCGCAAATAGGTTTCGCAGCACATGCAGGCGCTCAACGGCCAATGGCGGTCCCCGATTCGTACCATGTGATAAGCCAGTCGTGGCGCTCGAAAAACGCGCAGTAGAGTGATTCTTTTTATTATTTCTTGCACTGCATCAGCGAGAAAACTGTTGGTATTTGAAGAGTGGGGCTCGACTCTTCGACTCATGCGATCAACAATGGCGAGCGGCGGCGCAATATCTGGGCAAGGTGCTCGAATACTGCACACTTTCGACCTTTTAGCAGGCACCTTGTGCTCTTTAGATGTAATTTTAAAGCATTTCCAGTTAAGTCGCGACCTGTATTATTCTTTTCATAGCAGTAGAGGTACTAATCTTATCAAAACAGGCAAAAATAAAAAGTTGGTATTTTTGAAAAAAAAAAACTCGCGTTTTTCGACCCGCATCTCCTCTTAATGGAAGCTCGGTGGACAATTTGTGGTACGAAGTCTTCACAGGACATTTTTTGTCCGGGCATTTTATGGACAAAATTCGCACGAATCCAGTGAATGTGAAGACCATTTCAATGCCGAGATGTATGTTCTGCCTTCAGATGGTCAGTGAAACATTGTGAGCACTTCAGAAGAAACTAAATGTGTTGAGTCTACAGACAATGCTTCCTGCACTCATAACCAACAACGAAGTGCCTGCTGAAAATTCCTTATAACATTTTTTTTCAGAAATAAAAAAAAATCTACGACCTTTATGGCATAAGAAAAAAAACTGGGAGAATGAAACACAGAGGACCCAGCGCTGCCTGCCACAATACTCATGAATGTTTGAATTTGGCACAGTTCTGCCACAACGCCGCTGAACCTACTTGTGCACCTAAACACCCCTGTGCAACCTATTGTACGTCCATTTATCTGTGAACATGTATTAAGTTTATACATTTCTTGTTCAGGCATCCAAAATATACTAAATTGCCCCTGACTGATGTAACCGCAAACTATGTCAATGCTCATGGCCACGGAAGGTGAACTTGAAAGTTCAAGATTTAACTAACTTTGTGCTCTCCGTCTTTACTTACAAAAGTAGATTACGCAGAAGTTAGTCGGTCGGTGAGGCAAAATTTTTTTCACAGTAATGAAGCTCAAGGAAAAAGAAAAAAGCACCAATCGGGTTAGGTGCTTGACAGGAATGTATTCGAAACGATGTACTATAACATGTACAGGACATGTGAAGGTGATTGGCTTTGTGCGAAGATTTTGCTTGTAAACAACATGCTTTCACACAATGGTTTCAATGCAGGATAAATTGCATGAAGTGTTGGCAAGACCAGGTTTTATTTAAACTTCTAAACAGTGTTGACACATTTCATGCCAATAGACTTACAACAGAACTATTCACATTGGTACAGCCGCAAGCTTTACTTTAGAGATAAAAAAACCACCTGTAAGTGCAAAAATCACACTAACGAAGTTGCCGCTGTTAAACATGTCTCCTGTCACACACAAGCATGAGTGATGCCTTCAACAAAAGATCTCTATGCTTTCAACTAAATGCAAAGAGCAGTTCTTGAAAACAGCAACCTCGGTGCTCTTAAGTTTCGTGCCAATATTATGCCGTCGTTTCTGGCACTCTATTATATACACATACAAAAGACAATAAACAGAGAAAAAAAAAAAAGAAGTGCTAGACACTCACTTCTCCACTCTGGATTTGGATCAGACACCAGTGTGTAGTAGATGGGACCAATAATCTCATTCATGCCCTGCATGTAAGAAATGGCAGGGGAAAAAAAAAAAAAAAACACGAAGCCCCATCAGTTTCCAACAATGCAGCCTTCGGCAGTCTGCCTCAGCGCGGCCGGCGTTTGTCACGTTCACAATACAAAAACATTGTTGCTTTGATTTTAAATTTTCACCTTACTGGAGTACAGCAATGATTACGTGCCAGCATGATGCATAAATATGTTGTGTTGAAATCATGCCCACGAGCATCGCTTTCAATAGTAGGTAACCCCACAATGCCCAGTTTATCACGTTTGGTATGCCAAGTTTGAAGCTACGCCTGCTTCTCACAAGCCAAATGAGAAGGCATGATAGCCAATTAGTGGCATTTAGGTAATTCTAAAGAGTATTTTCTGATCGTGATATTTCTAGTCCCAAACACCAGAGAACTTCTACTTTAGTTTCGAAGATGGCAGCCTCCAGGACAGCACGTGATAGTATTTTACCTGGACCACTGCACCATGGAAAAGGTGATTAGTATACATATTTTCGAAAAGTTACTGCGAGTTTTTCTTTCTCTTGTACATTTTCCGATTATGAGACATAACTTTCTAGAATGTGTAGTCACATGGGACCTCACAGCAGTGCGGGAATTTCGCACATATCAAATTGACACAGTGGACGTTACCTGAAAATGTGTGCTTTGTGCTGTTTCATGCAAGCTGTAATATATACTGAACGTATAAGAGTACTGAAACTCGAAGTTTCGGATGAAACTGACTCTTTTGCTGTAGAACACCAAGTTATTGAGCCACAACTTCATGCTCCGTGCTTCACTTTCACACCAGCGCGCATACTAGTTTTTTTTTATCTTAGGTGCAGCTGTGGGGTGTATCCTTGAGAATGTTATACATATACCTAGTTGGTGATGAAAAAGTCTTAAAAAAAGCTTGGGAAAGGCTTCCATGTCTACCATGACGACAACGAGAATGGCATTCCTGGGCCACAGGATTTTCACCTGAGCAGTGAATGAGTGAAATCTTCACCAGTGCCAATCTACCAAACTGCGCTCTAGAGCAACGAAGCTGTACACATACTTGTGGTCCTCTCACAGTGCCCGACACTGCCCAAGAAAAATGAAAAAGAGGGGGAGGGGGGGGGGACGATGGCTGTGTAGAATGCCATCACCTGCTTAGAAAAACGAAAAAGAAAAAAAATATCCCACCAAATGAGCCGAATGTCAAAGTCAAGAATAGTAGTGCTGAGCATTTCCCACAGTTGACAAACCAGAGAATGTGCTGCACAAAAAGTGCGTGACATTGCCGAAGAAAAAAATAATTGTTCCAATATCATAAGTACTGAATAATGACTACAGTGCCTTCTACATCATTCAATGAACACCCAATGTATCTGTAGTTTGATACAAACTACATATATTTTTGATATAGAAGATTTTTTTATACATCAACTACCGTAAATATTCGAATCTAACGCGCACCTTTTTTCCAGTTAAGAGAGTTGATAAATCGCATGCGCGTTAAAATCGAGTGCGGGAAAAAAAAATGAATACAGTCATTCTATTGTCATCGGCATTTCCAAAACGGCCGCCCCTTACGTGCTTCAGCATGGCACGTCGGCCATTTCTGCCTATGTGTTTCCCATGTGCGGCACTTCGTACGTGTGCTGAGGAGTTCGTCATCTTGTAGTTCATTAACATCGACGGCATGGAAGGGCCGACTCCAGAAACACGACGAGTGCACCACGATGCCGCTTTTAAAAGAAAGTCATCGCACGTGCCGAAACAGACGGAAATCGGGCCGCATTGCGGTCGTTCGGAGTTCCCAAAACGTGCATGTGGGACTGGCGGAAACAAAAGCAGAAAATTGTCAAAGATTCATGCAAAGGCTTCAGTGGACCACAGCAGGGTCGGTTTCCGCAAATTGAAAAGCTGCTCACCGAGTATGTGCTTGAGCAGCGAGCGGCACAGCGGCCCGTGACGGCAGAACTGTTTTAAGTGCGGGCTATGCAGTTAGATTTAGAAAAAGGGCTAACGCGGAGCCAGTTCAAAGCGAGCAGGTGCTGGCTAACTAACTTTATGAAGAAGAAAGGCTTTTCCCTCCGAAAGCGAACGGGCATGCGCCAAAACTTGCCAGAGGAGTACGAAGAAAAACTCGTTTTCAGAGGTTCGTCCTAAACTTGCGGCACAACAACGGCTACTTGCTTGGGCGAATCGGGAATGCCGGTCAGATGCCTTTTTACTTCGGCATGCCTGGCACCACAACCGTCGAGAAGAAGGGGGCGAAGCAAGTTCCCATGCTGACATCGGGCCACGGTAAAACAAGAGTGACGGCAATGCTCCGTTGCACGTCAGATAGGCACAAGCTTCCCCCGTACCTCATATTTAAACGGAAGACGCTCCCGAAAGGAGTAATTTTCCCGAGTAGTGTGATCGTGCGGGCCAACGAGAAAAATGGGTGTGCGTTGCAATCGATGTCTTACTTTTTTTTTCATCGGGAAAACCGAGTGCGCGGTAGAATCGAGTAAATACGGTATTTGTTGATGTGTTCATTTATGCACAAGGAGCCAATAAATGAGATATGCAATTTAGTTTTATAACCATTTGTGTAGGTAAGCTTTGAGGGGTTCTTAAAACAAAAAAAATTATTACTGAAGCAAATTAAACACGTTGGAAGTGAAAAAGTATAGCAGTGAGGTCTGTTATATGCAAATGAACTATGATACTGAGACTCTAGCTACAGAAAAGTAAAATTAAAAAAAAAAGCCTGAATTGAGCTTTCACTGGATATAGTTACACGTAAAAGAAATTGCGCAGAAAGATACACCAATTCGAGTCGCTTAGGTCTTTTGATGTATGGCTAATGCTTTAAAATGCCGGTAGGCAGCTTTTACAGCCACTGAAGGTCCTGCAGAAAAAGGTAGGCGAGTCTGCATTTGAAAAGAAGCCAACACTCACTTGAACATATCCGAGGCCTGGATTCAACTTTGCATACAGGAATAGAATACGTTCAACCACTTCCCAGTGGGCCTCTTGTCCTTCACCCAGTTGCTCAAGTGCCTCGTGTGCGGGTCGCGACCGTACACAAGCTGATATCTGCAAAAGTTTATAAAAGGTATTTGAAAATGCCTTCTAACAATAGCTATTTCACCCTCGCATGCCAAAATAAATATTGAGAGGTGGAAAATTTTTGCTCCAAACTAGAAGAAAAAAATATGCATTTTAACAACTCACATTAATTAACGGTATGTTTCCCCATATGAAGACAATTTGCAGCAATGCTACAAAGATGTTTCACAGATGTCACATTAGCAGTTCCAACAAATTTGTTGAAACAAAAGTATGCAATGAAGTACAAACAGAGAATCAAAACGAGAAAAAGATGCATAAAGAAAGCGAAAAGAAGAAAGCTATTTTTTCAGTAGACTTTTTTTGTGACCCCAAAACAAGATGGCCCACATAAATATAGATACCGCATAACATATTTTCAGCTTATCCATTTTTCTGGTAGCGATAGTAGATGTAATATTAATGGCCTCAGCATTCTGGATGATCGGACATTACAGCAACCATCCAGCTGCCTGTGCTTGCTGCCCCAAAAACGCACCGCAGAAATGCTAGGCATAATTTTGTTCGATGTTATTGAGAAGGTTATCGCCACCATAAGATCTCTCAACAAACTGAAGTTATATTTTCTTTGAAACAGGTAATTGACTTTTTTTAGGATGTCCCAACCACTTCCATTCGCAAGCTATTTCCTTATGATAACCAAGAGGTTTGGCTACCCAGCTGCAGGACTTGACGTGGTTCATTGTCTGCTCACTGCCTTTGGGTCGCTTGCACAGAATACACGTCTGCACCACTCTTGTTTCGAATGTCTACCCTGTATTGGGACATTATCTAGTCCACTACAGTTCTGTACTTTATATAAACCTATTTGAAGAGAGGCCCCTGTTTCCCAATTATGCATATCTCTACAATTGTGCTGCATCGTCATCGCTTTTGGGTCTCGGTCAGCTTAACGCACCAACACGAGCGATGTTCAGCCATGTTGTCAAAGTAAGTCGTCATTTCAAAGAAGCAATGACACAAAAATTTTGGCCTCACTTTTTTTTTTTTTTGCTGCAATGTGTTGCTGGGAGCCTGTTAGTTGTAACAGGGCACATTGTTTGCTGCCATGTGTGACAGGTAATTAGTCATAGGTTCCTCATTAACAAGAGGTCTTAGTTCCGGTTTGAGAGAGCTAAAAAAATGACAAGCCACCAGGTGCAACTACAACCTGGAGTGTGCAACGCCCAACCTCATTAACACAAAGAACAGCGACACACTTCCGCACAGTCCGCATCAAGTAATTTCGAATGGAAAACAGGACAGCAGTATCGCCATACAGAAAACTTTCAATGCATGCACAGCGGCAACGAACTCACGAGCAGCCTACTCTGCTGAAGCAAATGTGGCAAAAAGAAAAATGGCAGCTATGATATCATAACTTGTATTAACTGCAGTGTGCTGGCAACAGAGAAATAGGGGCATCACCACAGGTCACTTTTGAGGAGGTAGTGCTTAATCCCCCTAGCAAACTTCTAAATTCATATAAAATACCTTCTGAGCTATGTTCACTGTTGATATTTCGCAGATGATACACACATGTTCATGGGAATCGATCCCGTAGGCTATCTTGGGCGTGAAATTTTGTGTCAGAAACCCTTTAAGTACACACGGAAGTGCTTCCATGTCCTTCATACTTTTGAAGGCTTCTAAGTGAGCGTGTCTGCTGTTTACAAACTTATTTTATTTTCATTACAGCAACTGCATTTGAGAGGTTTCCCAACATTTCCAAGCAATGAATTAAATTGATTGATTTGTAGGGTTTAAAGTCTTAAAACCATTACATCATTATGAGGAACGCTGTCGTGGAGGGCTGTGGAAATTTCGACCACCTGGGGTTCTTTAGCGTGCACCCAGATCTAAGCACGTGCACAATCCTCGGGCAATTTCGCATCCATTGAAAATGCAGCCGCCGCAGCCGGGATTTGATCCCATGACCTGCAAGTCAGCAGCCAAGTACCTTAGCCACTAGACCATTGCGGCAGGGCATGAAATATTAAATCAAAGGATAACATGGACACTCAGTGCCATCTACGATATACTTTAAAAAGCCTTTGTCCTTGCTTGAGAATATCATAGATGAATGGGAAGAATAATCACAATCAAATGCCATTTATTAAATTTAATTTAGGTGTCCCCATGCAACGTTGCCAAGCTTAAGAGGGTTAAAAGTGCATGGCTCAAACAGGCAGTGCTTGGTCAGTCCAATATGATGCATGAATGTATCACACTATGGCGCATACACAAGCGGTTTTGCACCATTCGAACAATATGCGTTTGCTCCAAACCTTGAGAACTCACCAGCTACAGGAAATAAATAGGGTAAAACTTAGCAACCAACAGTAACTTTCTTGTAGCATACTACTGCAAAAGTAATATGCATCTACTTGATATATTAAGTTTATAGATTACAATTCTGTTATATCTGGCATATGAAATTTGAAATTTCTATATAATCTAGAAAACACAAGGTTATATTACAATTTCATGAAAGATAAGTGTAAATATGCCTTATATCTTTCATATCTGAGGGCACTATCTTTATGACAAAAGGCCACAGCAGAACTTCACAGACTGCTGTGTTACATACAAGACAAGAAAAGCCAAGTACTACGCTCATTACCCTATCTCTATCCTCGCAAGCACAAATTATGGTTACAAAGTCCATACTACGTAAACTTAACATTTCCCTCATGCTAAAGTCATTACCATTCATTGTTGACACTTAGGTTTGTCCCGAACCAAGACATGATTATACAAAATGTCGTAGTTGAGAGCTCCGAAAAGTGCAAACCCGTGCAATTCTTTAACATGCACTTAAATGTAAGCACACAGCTATCCAATGCGGTATTATCTCCATTAAAATGTCACTGCCATGCCCAGAATCAAAATTCTTTTGTCAAGTTTTTTTGAGGCAGCTCACGTACGTTCAGCGAGTGAACCACCAACCTCCTAATTACAGTGCCACTGCAAGCATCTCAAGATATGGCGCAGCCAACAAAACATCCACTTAATACAGCCCGTGTCCGTCGATTTGACTTTAACTTGATTGCAACTAAAGGTCCCGACTGACTGTTGATACTGCTCTATGGGACCAAACTTTTGCTATTTTGATCCAAAAGCCTTTGCAAGATAATTCAAACATGGTTGTTCATCCTAGCATGTTTGACCACAAACGGTGACGGTGATGATCATTTCTCAGGCTTTTTCTCATTGTCTAGATCATGCTTTTTTTTCGTTGCTGTAAAAAAGAAACAGTGGTGAGAGCGGCATGTACAAATGCAAAAACTACTGAGCCAAGTACAGAGCCCTCCATCATAGACCTTCCGTGCAACAAAATGTGGCTGGTGCATTTTTTACATGCCCATCAGCTGTGCTTGCCCACTTTCACTCGCACATAGAACATTTGTGCAGGTGCCAATGCTATCAATATTGACTTTATATGAGTCTCATGGCCATACTGATGCCAATGGCAAAAGCACATAGTGTCTATATAATTGCTATCACATAGAAAAATCAGGCGAGAGTTCTATTTCTACATAATTCAGTTACAATAAAGTCATTTTTATGTAAACTTTGAACTGTGGAGCTAATAAACATAATGGCATACGTTCTATTCGGGGACGTGTTACACTTTGTAGAAATGCTACCAAATGAATCAGAGGAGTGTTTAGCTGTTTTTTTTTCTGCCTCTCACTTATTTGGGCTAACAAGATAATTCGACGAATGTCATAAATCCCTTCAAAGATTGATGAATTACAAACTAACAAAATTCAACTGTAAATAGTCAGGTGAACTTTTAAAGTGTGAACAATATTCAGACCCACCCTAAAGAGATCAGGTGAATTCGAAAAAAAAAAACATTCAATAAACAGCTCACACTAATGTAGCAATTAGCAAAAGAACAAAGTGGTCTTCGAGTTTATAAAGAAGCCATTTGTTCCATATACTGCTTGCTGAAATGAGCAGTGATTCAACTTCTGTAGCCTAGCAGCCCGATTGGGTGAAGTGAAAGACTCACGTTAGTGATGCCTTGGCGAGAGCGAGTGACATTCGCTGCTCGTAGCATGCTGCGCTGCACACGCTCCCGCAGACCTTGCACACGTGGGTTGGCAGCAATCCGGACACATGGGTGCTCAGTAGCGCGCTGGAAGAAGCACATGTCTGGGCACAGGCGTCGCACATCCTTGTCGATCTGCAGGAGGACCTCATTGTCCCGGAAGTATGCCTGCCACCGGCTGCTTGGGTTCACACTCAGGGGCTGCACAATGCAATGTCCCCATCTAGTCGGGATGGAAAAATCAAGTGGTCTGTGCAACAACCAGTGGCTACCTATGAAAGACAGAACATCTCTAACTGACCAAGCTTGAAGAAGCCCTGCAACACTTTTTCAAGTAGCCATGGAATTGATTCACTAGAGAAGCTGATTGCCTCATGAATTCAGCACTATGCAAAATTTTTAGAATACATCCAGTACGAGTGGAGTTGGAAACATTTGTCGCGCGCTGCAATCACACTCTCTTCTCTTGTACCAATGAAAGTGCTGGAAGCTAAGCAGGGAAGGATGGCACGGGGAATGAAAATACATCACATGCACCTCGTGACCTTGAGCACCTTTGCTTTTTTTTTTAATATGCGGCTTTTCAGGGCAATCACGCGCGCATGCGTGAACAAGTCGCACCTCCTGCAGCTGCCCAAGTAACGAGCGAGTGCGCCCTGCTCGAGTCAGCCAGGGGCTGATCCAAAGGCTGTGATGATAATTCTTTAGCCTGTAGCCTCATTTGTCAAGAGAAGAGAGGGCAATTTTTAGCTGACTTTCAGAATTTATCGTGAATTCCAGGTCGCGAGCTGTGCTTTAATATTTGACTCATCTGTTCTCGAGAGCCTTGACTAGCGATGGGCAGCGTTTTCTGACCACGCTCATAAAGTGTAGCCGGGCCTCTGTAATATTAGCCCCTATGATAAATATACTGCCGATATTGGCAGTTAAATGTTGTGATGCAAAGTTCACTGCATTATGCTTTCACCTAACCTAGCTCAGGACTCAAGTCTGTGCTTAGCTATAATAGCAGGAGCTGGTTGAGCTCTGAAAGAATCACTGCCAAGTGCAACAAAGATAGCAGCACTCTGCAATAACTGGACACCTGCAGCCTATTACATAGATTTGGAGGCAGGTTGCAACTTGAGGAGGACTAAGCACTGTGGCAACAAAAAACACACTACATAGCAGGGCACTTCCTTGCATATGGAGGTCAGCCAGCCAGAAAAGAGAACAGAATGATTGCAACATGTCACAGTGCAAGGAAGTAAATGTTAAATGACACTGACCTTTGCTGTGGGCATATGCAATGCAACTTCCTTTACATAGCTCTCAAGAGATGTAAGAGCAATGTGAAAAAAATATAATCGAGGGAAATGAAAGAGTTTAACATCCCCACAAGCTACAGCTTAAAGCTGAAGGGGTCATCAACCACCCTTCGACATTCCTCAGAAGAGCTCGGTCAGGCAAATCTTGCAGTCACGTGCAGCACGGAGGGTTCAGAGGTGGAGCGGCAAATGGCCATTTTCTCAGGAGCCCTCTTGCAGGGGTGGAAGCGGCATTCAGTCTTTTAGAGCAGCTTTTGAAGCAGGAATCATACGGTTTTGGAGCAGCTTTGGAGCACCAAATTCTTGGGGCATACATCACTGTTAGTATGTTTGCTTTCTCAAACACAAAAAATTTCAGTGGTTTTTACTAAGCCTTCAATGCTGATCAAGTGACTAGACTTACCCCAAATTTATATATATATATATATATATATATATATATATATATATATATGTATATATATAAGGAAATAAGTGTATACTTAAGGGCCTGTTTTTGCGTGTTTTTACACAGTACTAATGACATCTAACAGACAATAATGCCAAGGAAAGTATAGGGGAAGATATTAGACCGAATTGTAAGGTAGATATGAAGAAATAAAAGTGGGTGAAAAGATAACTTGCCATGGGCAGGATCCGAACCTGCGACCTTCGAATGACGCGCTCGATGCTCTACCACTGAGCTACCATGGCAGCTATCCCCCCAGCAACTTTATTGGGTTTATATGTGAATTTAAACGTGGGAGTGTCAGTCAGCACCACCAGTAGCCATGGCGGCGAGTGTGGCACACTCTTTGAGCCTGTTTGGCGTCACGTAACACGTGAACTTATTACGAACGGGCAGCTCACCAATAGCCCCTCGTATACAACCTAAAGGCACTAAGTCTGCCAGTACGAGACCCTCGTTAATGAATTAAGAAAAGAAGTGTATACTCAAGGGCTCGTTTTTACATGTTTTTACACAGTATTAATGAGATCTAACTGACAATAATGCCAAGGAAAGTATAGGGGAAGACATTAGACCAAATTGTAAGGTAAGTATGAAGAAAGAAAAGTGGGTGAAAAGATAACTTGTCATGGGCAGGATCCGAACCTGCGACTTTCGAATGACGTGTTCGAAGCTCTACCACTGAGCTACGCTACCATGGCAGCTATCCCCCCGGCCACTTTATTGGGTTTGGCTGGGGGGATAGCTGCCGTGGTAGCTCAGTGGTAGAGCTATCACGGCAGCTATCCCCCCCAGAGTCATGATGTCGGATCCAAAAGAGTTACCTTTCAGCCTTCGTATTTTCACGGGGTCGAGATGTTGAAGGCAGTAACCGCTGTTTTCATGAGTGAACTTTTTATTTAGGTGGGCCTGTGCCCGGAAAATAAAACGTCACTCTACAAGCATTACGCGCTCACTCTAAAAGCAATACATGCTGTAGACTGATAGCAGCAAACCAGAGCGTCGGCCGTCGATAATCTGCCAAGCAGCAAAGTGCGTCGGCATTTATAGATGTGCCATCAAAGATTCCAGTGTTATCGCTAGCGGCTGCGTAAGCTCCACGACAAACTAATATACACATTGTGCGCATAATCTTGTCGGAAGGTTTTAAGATTATCTGGATTGCTCTCAGTGATTCGGGCATGGTTCGCACAAGGGAGTGCGACATGCGTAATGGTGCGGTAGAAAAATAGAAAGAAAAGAGCTCGTACGGCATTGTCATCACAACATTACAAATGCTTGCTATGGCAGTTATAGGTTCGTTGGTGAAACTGATTCTTAATTTTTTTCAGCTTATATGGTTTGACTAACAGCTTTGCTGTTAAAACATATATATAGAGTCGCATAATGAGGTGTGCATACAAACGTCAACAAGATTTGTGCATGAACAGAAATACGTGACCGAACTAATTTGATATGAGCAGGTGCATCCTTTGTGTAGCCTACATGTGTTGCGTGTCAATAATAAAACTCGCGAAAAATTTGGCGTTGAACACGCAAATTGCTGTTTAGGTGCAGCTTGGCGCAGCAGGCCAGATTGGCGCAGAATGGCGCAAATGGCACAGTGCTTCCACCCCTGCCTATTGTCATACAGAGCCTCAATCTTTTCGGTAGGCTTGCGCGAATATTCGAATATTCTAACGAATAATGCAGTATTCAAAGTTGCTTTGAATCGAATTTAAATTATTCAAAATTTCAAATCATTTGAGACAAATGAATATATGCATATTAATTCGCACGTAATATCTTGTAAAGGTGGTTTCACTGCAGTGAGGAAATGCTGAACAGTGAAAGCACCTATCCAGCTATATTGTCACGGGGTTGTCACCTAGAAAATCAAGCATGGGTTCGTAAAAACAGATTTAAAAAGCTAGATATTAATTTATAAAAGAAATTATAAAGTGTTTCAAATGAAAAAATATTTTTAATATTGCATATTTTAAGATTCGTATTGTCTGCCTGTAGTTATTAAAGAAGCAGATGATAAGCAGACGACAAGATCAACTCCCACACCGTCGGAGCAGTTGGAGTACCTCAAAGCAAATCGATTATGAGTGTCGTCAGCTTTTCGACTTCATCGCAGCGTAAGCGCACTCCGTGGTCGAATGAAGAGACCTTTGCAGCAATTGACGGCTGGCAGGAGCAACTTGGAGACATGATGCAACAGAAGTGAAACTGTGGTGTGTACAATGAGATTGCTGTTTCGCTGCGAATGGACAGCTACGAGCAGGTGCCATCAGAAATAAAAGTGAAGATTAAGATTCTCACACAGCAATACAGGTAAGTGCAAAGAAAGCTTTACCGAATGATGGATTTATGAAATTACTCTTGAAGTGGCATGCAAAGTTTTTGACCTTCGAGCGGTTCTTGCACGAATAATATATTGCTGATAAATGGCCCTAATAAAATATCGTACGTTGAGTTTTGTCAATGACATGTTTTATGGCACGCAAGTGCCACCTGGTGCATTTCATAAGACCCAAACTCGAACCTGATTAGCTTGGGCCATGTACTGTAGCAGCCCTGAAATTCATTGCGATCTGAGTGATCAGGATCGGTTTTACCCGTGTGACACAGGTATGACATGAGATATATCACTATTCAAATTCAATTTGAAATTATTTGACAAAAATCACAATTCACTTCAAACCTAAAATTCACTATTCGCCCAACCTACTACTTTTCAGAGCTGCCTGCCCCGGCCGTTTGATGGTGAAGACACATCGTGCTTAGCCAACAGTAGACATAAACCACAAGCTGTGTTTGGACCAACTGTGCTTCTTGCCATGGGGTGCAGCCATGTGATGGCACCCTGCTCAGTCGTTCGCTAACATTAAGATTCTTTGTCCCCAAGTTCAGGGTAAGGGTCATGTCTCTCCAAGGCTTCATTCATCTCTCTTCTCATTAAAGGTTAAATTTATCTCTCCACACAATTCTCTAAGTGGAGGAAGTCAACCAGAGTTCATTAAAGGGTGCTCCTGCTCAAAGTCAGAGTTGAGCAAAAACACACTTGAACACACTTAATGAGTTGAGGCTTCCATCCTAACATCAATCCTCCACTTGTCCACTTGACAAAAAAAAATGATCACACAAGGCATTTCCAGTGCGATTCCCAAATCACAGCTGCATATGGCATTACTTCTTTTAAACTACAGAGAAAAGTTCCAACAGCAAATCTGTCACTTATTGCTTTAGGTAAGGTACCCACGTATTTGTTCACCGTACAGGGAGACTGGGGATGTGTACAACTTTTTCAGTGCTGTCTTCACCCGTTATTTCTCAACTTGCCACCTCCACAACGACCAACTTGACGACATGGAAATCAGGAAAACCCTTGAAACAAAGTGGGGAGTGTCGAGGAATGTTAACCAACCGCCTTCATGAGTGCGGAGCACTTCAGGTGCCCA